AATGAACAATTACAGTAATCTAATAAAGCAATCATCAAACAAGCAATGCAATCCAGAGTGAGCTGACCAATTATTCAAGACGACATTTTTCTAATCCAGTTGTAAAGAAGTTGAGAAAAAGAAGTCACCAGAGCCCAAACAGTAGCGTACAAGAAAGAACTTTCATTGCACATTGTGTTGTCTGCTCTGCATAACCGTCAACGGCTCAACGCCTACCTCTCAAACTTCAGACAAGAGCGAGCTTGAGCAACCAGATCGATTCAGAAATTCAGAACATTCCGCTCAAGAAACAGAGGGGCGGAAGTAGAGGAGAGAAGAGTTAACTAACCTTCGCGGTCGGTCTCGCCCTCCGAGGTGTCGTGGTCGTCGGCGCTGAAGTCGGAGTCCCCGGACCCCGCGCCGATGTTGAGCCACTTGCGCAGCACCACCCTGTTCCACAGCTGCGGCACGCAGCCCCAATCCGCGCCGCAACACAACACCATCTCAGCCCACCTCTGCATCACAAAATCCTTCGTCCCGCGCAGACCAGAGACAAGAACAGCAAAAAAGATCAGAATTTGATCCTAGAAACAGCAGGTTGAAGAACTTAAGCGAAGAAGCTTCGAACATCGAACAACTAACCTGCATCTGCATCCCGCCGCCGTCACGCAGTGCCTGGGAGGCGCCGGCCGAAGCGGCCATGGCTGCGTCGTGGTGCGCTCGGTGAGGCGGAATAAATAGCCGCGGCAGGGAGGAGAGGGAGGAGGTAGAGGACGCCATACGCGCGACTGCAGCAGCTCCCCTACCCAGACGCCACACGAGTCTGAGAGAGCGTGATGGCCGCTTGGGGGGCTTCCCTTTTCTAGCGAAGAAATAAAATAGACCGACCAGTCTGTCTACTGATCCCTCATGTTCCAAACACCTTCATTAACCTCCTAAAGATTTTTAAAATATATTAAGATTGAAAATATATAATGCTGACTTAAATGTTTGTTTTTAGCCTCTGTCCTAGAAAAAAATGCAACTACGGGTTGCATGCCATAAAAAGTGATTCACGTTTGACCAAGTTTTATAGCGAATAATATTCACAATTATGTCTTTAAATTAATTTTTATAAAAATACATTTCGTGATTAATCTGATGATATTTATTTGGTATCATAAATATGGATAATTTTTTATCTATAATTAGTCAAATTTAAAGTACTAAAACGTGACACTATGCTAGAATTGTATTCTTTTAGGGACGGGGTAGTAACTATTATTGAGGGCATATTTGGTAGAGCTTCGGCCCCATTCCTCTTAAAATTAAAGTTCGCTTCGCTGAAAAAAAAACAAGCCAAAATACTGTTCCGACTGATTTGTTGTGAGAGAAGAACTCTGTTCCGGCTGAAAAAACAAGCTGAAAAGTACGGATTATAAGAGAAGCGAACCTAGAATAAGATGGGGCGAAAGAATGAACTTACTATTTTTGGTTTTATCAGCTTTGACTCCTCTACACATTTTATAAGTAGTTAACATGTATCTCCTGCACTGGAATTTTTTACTTGTTTTAGATGCAAGCAATGCAAATATTTATGTTTAAGCTAAGTGATTTATTGAAATTGTAACTGTGATACTAATCTCTTAGTTTGGCAAGATATGTCCATGATCCAAAGCTAAGTAGCTAGCCAATTCACTTTGAAATTTGCAGGAAGATATGATTAGCCAAAACTAACTACCCACCCATAACGTTAAATCATCAAGATTTGACTACTATACTCTCAAAGATTCGGACCTTTACATACATGATAATATACCGTAATTGTAGTCCCAGTTTAACAATTGACATGATATACATGCAATGGTGATTATGCACCACACCTAAGCAAACAGACGTATATTCACCGAAAAAGGTTACGTATGAAGTTCATGGAAAAGAAGGATGCATATGGAATGTTCCAATATCGTACGTGGGCACCATAATGAGTTTTTGTTTCTCTGTTTTTCAGAATCGCAGTATCAATTCTTGCTTAGTTGTATCCGATGAAGCCTGACGAAACGTACGGCGATAGCCGATAGCTTTCGTTTTAGTATACGCTTCTTGCGTCTTTATCCTACTCCTATCGAGTAATCATCAGTTAGGCACAAAACGAAACATGGACATGGATTTTTCTTCCCCTTTCGTCAGCAAGCCAGCAAGATCCATCTGTTTCAGAAAATCCTCTTGGCACGTCTCAGAATCATTGCCTTGCGCTTACTACTGCTGTAGGCTGTATGCATGTTTCTACAAGAAATATGGTGGAAATGCTGCCACATTATGCTTTGAGCTAATGATGATGTTGCTGTCCTTTATTGACATAACTATGTTATTTTAAGAGTAGGATGGGATCTAAAAGGCTGCCTGTAAACCACATTTTTTTAATACTGTTTTTAGCACAAATCTGAACCATACACTTAACTGTCACGCACCAACTAATCTTCCCACCCACTTGATTTGCAAGCATTTCTGAAATTTGCACCGATACGAGTGTGAAATGTGATGGCCAATTAGTCAATTAGTATCTCTCATTTCTTTCTTTTTTCTAGCACTTTCTGATTTAAATTATTATTACCGGTTATTTTGAACGGTGACACTGTCATTATGTTCAATTTTTTTTGAACGGTGACAGGATTTTAAACTGGCGTTCCATCCCGGTCAAAAAAAGTTTTCTCATCACACTTTTCTCTCTCTAAATTTTATATATTATTAGTAGGTGAATGGAGGACGACTACTTTTGAGGAACTCATAAATGCTTTCATGCTCAAAGCATGTGGCCATGTATTTTTTCTGAATATAAGTGGTTATTAGCAAATCGTAGTTTATGTCTCGGAAACATGTTTTAAATAATTTTTCTAGAAGCATCTAATGTAAAGGCGGTAAATTGACTACCCAAAGCTCTATAGTTCATTGAAAAAAAGAGTGCACATTTCATTTTCTAAGGAATCGGTCAATTTTAAATTTAACTAGATTTTTTAAAACTAGTACGAATAAATATATTATATGATTTATATAATTATACTTATTCAATAAATATTAGTATTTTATCATAACTATTATATATTTAGTTATAAACTTGAGATATTTACTATATTTTTTAAGTTGGGGAAGTAAACCGGTCGCCCAAAGGGCCGTCATGGCCCATGGGCCACCACGAACTCTGCGGTGGCGGCTCGCGGCGAGGTCACGCGAGACGGCAAGTGTAGCTCGGCTTCGCGTCTGTGAGCAACCTCCCACTCGTGCGTGAGGCCGGTGAGGGGGAGCTCGCCGCCGTTTGGCCGGAAGCTCTACAGTTCGCACCGGCGACAAAGGTGAGGGATCCCCTTTGGCTAAAAACTTACGACTCCTAAAAAAATGTTTGTATGTCGGGGAAAATATGCCTCTTGATTTCATTGTCTAGGCCTTTTCTTGTGTTAGTATTTAGTACTTGCGTGGATTACATTTCTCTGGATGCATTCAGATTCTCTCTGTTTTTTCCTAAACAGCGAGAGTGCTTTTGATCTGTACGAAGATACTCTGCATAGTTGGAAGGTTTTTTTTTTAACAGTCAACGGGGTAAGAGTATCCCTATCCCCATCTAATTTATAGTAACCATTATACATTCATAGAACACCACCTAACCTGAAGAGTTTTGAAAAGGAATTAAGCTTCAGTTTTTATCTGAATCTCTGAATTTCCCTACATTGGCAAGGACTGTGAACAAGAAGGATTCGGGGTTCGGTTTTGTTCAGTTGCTGCAAAAGCCAATATTCAGGAATTCAGCACTTGAATTTCGTTTAATCCAATAGATGAAGTTGCAAGGTGATGTTTTGCTAAGAAATAGTTCGAAACTGTGGAGTTGTTAACGAATTTATTCGGTATGAAGCACTCAAATAAAAAAAAAATCGAGACCCTGCTGTACAATTCTGGTTGATTCTTTATTACATAATAATTTACTTCTGAGTTTTCAACCGATAGCATCAAAGTAGCCAAAGGCACTATATGGTTCACACTTCTACATAAAAGAAAATAAGAAAAAACATATTCTAAGAGAAGTGATAACAATATGGGGAAATGAGAAGAGAAACAAGTATTGTATACTGTTAGCTAATCTACTGACACTTTGTGTGAACACAGTAGAGGAGGACGGCGCCGACTTAGCCGTCTGTTGTGTGTGAACACAGCAAGGGAAGGCGGCGTCGATTTTGCCCCCTGCTGTGATACAGTAGCCGCTGCAGGTGCAGGCGCCGTACGGCTCACCTGCAGCACTGTAGGAACAGGCAGTGGCCGGCGCAGAGTCAGCCCTGTCAGGTTATCTAGTTACTGTGCCAGTATGAGCGCTGCACATGGACTAGATAGTTAGAGTTGTATAAATAGACATGTATGGCAACTCAGTAAAGAGAGCTCAGATTTGCCATCACACAGACAGGGCCTCGGCCAACGCTGTTGTCTTGTATTGTGCGTGCTTGCTCTGTTCTCCCTTCTTCTCCCAACTCCGTCCGTAGTGTGTGGGTACGGACAACGCCGGTACGTGGTCTGTACGGCTAGTGGGTACTCGGCAACACTAGCGCGTGCTCGGCGAGACCGTCAAGTGCTCCACTCGCCTGAGCCGGTGCACGGCAAGATCGGCTAGAGTGGTTCACTGACGTGAGCCGGTGATCCTGTGAGACCAAGGGTGGTCTGGAGGCTATCTGTAGTGGTCTGGAGGCCATCTCGGTGGTCTGAAGGCTATCTGTAGTGGTCTGGAGGCCATCTCGGTGGTCGGGAAGCTAACTGTGGGCCAACATATACAAGAGCCTGTTGTATGACCGATCAATCTTCAAAGAAATAAATGACTATTTATTCAAACCTATGGCATTGTAATTCGGTAGTGGTAAGGATACAGTGGCTCGAAAAGGGTCCATAATCATGGTCTCACCAATACCCCACCCTTGATCAAATAAGGATGTAGCAAAGAAGGAAATGGACGCCCTACTCCTTCTAATCTATGATGTGCAATTGAATTATTCTGACAGATTATGAGATCAAGCATTGGCATTGCATTGCATCATCTTGGTTGGAACTTGAGCTAGGAAACTGCCTGGCTCATGGTTCAATGGTTTTGGTTCAAGATGTGCTTCCTTCCTCGATAACAGGTGATCCTCAACCTCTGCATTGCTAAATGTTAGAGCTCTCTGCAACCTCCTGCGGCAGACAACTTCAACCTCTGCCATATAAACTGCAGTCACAGGGCGATGATTAAATAACATAAGCTCCGCCCTCTTGTAGGAAAGTAGCCTTGTTCCCTTCCCATATGAGAGAATTCGGTCGCACCTATACAAGCAGGTGAGGATGTTAATTTCCTTATTCATGTAGACATATCCTCAAGTTTGATGCCTAGTAGAATGATTAAATGAACTAGAATAAATCTCATGAACAAAAGGTGGAGCATACCATGCAGGTGTTCTTCTCCCAGATTTCGTCGCATCACTTACACATTTCCCTGAGTTAAACTCATATTTATATGTTGGGGGAAGATGATAGATCCTTCAACCCAACCGTCAAATGTGCACCCTTTCCCTAGTTCTTTTTTCAGCTATCACAGAGAAGAATGAGCTGGAAACTCTGTGCAAGTAATGGATGTATTAGGATATCTAAATTACCTGATCCAACTTAAACAATGCATCCCAGTCCTGTTTGGAGACAAGTTCATGTGTCGTCTCATATGATAAATTGAGCCGATAGTTGAGATCCCCTAACAATATAATCCTTCTGAAAAATTTAAGGGCGCATTTAATATAGAAGCCATGGAAATAGTTGACCCAGTGCATATTGGAGCATAGCGCAAAGTATTGAAGACACGGATTAACTCACTCATGGTCATGTATTCTTCTGGGCACGCCTACCATATGAACTGGGTTAAAAAACTGTCCTTCTATGGATTTCTTCGACATTTGTGTTTCTCTTTAGTTCATCGCCATTTTTTTACCAGGGGCTAGGTGGCAACATACAAAGCAAAATTGAGTTTCATGTATAGTCATGCTGACTGATATTGATCCCTGAAGCATATTGAAGTAACAAATGTTAGCATGTGCTTTACTTAGACAAACAAATTTAAGCAAGTATGTCCACGATGAATACAATAGTAAGCAGCTACATGTTAACATTCAAGGAAATAAATTATTTTAAAATGATAAATTGTATCTCATTAAACAAAGCTCAACTTTCTCTTTCACTATTCTTGAAAGTATGGTAGCATCAAAACATGCATTTTTCAACTCCAGTTCTCATGAGAAATATTTAAAATCGTTGTGGACAATGTTGCAAGCAACGTTTTAGGATTCCAAGTATGAGACAATTATTGTTGTAATATAAAGCTGCATGAGTAATAATAAAAGACAATAAATTTGGCACTTGCCTTGTTGCCAATAAAACCCCTTGTACCTACACCTACAATTGATACTCTCAAATTCTGAATGTGCTTTTGCAGGCTACTCCGAACCCATACCGAAAGAAATACTCCTACCATTTGCTTGCTTATTACCCGGACATACTGCAGTCTTTTCCTTTTAACCCCATTACAATTGTTAACACCAAAGGCTAAATCCAGTGGCTGAAGATGGCGAGCTGAATTGGATGACTTTGTATTGTGCAACAGATGAAGCTCCCCATCACTATCATTGTTGGATTCATTATGCAATTCATTCTCCATTGCAAGAACACAATCTGATGGATTAAACCTTGCTGGTGGTGAAGAGTCACTATGGCATTTGAACTTTGATTTATCCGAACACTTATTCAAAGTTTCATGGATGATATGCTCCCATATTGCAACTGGACGAGTGTCTTCAGTTCCAATCATATACCCTTCTTCTAGTGGGATAATCTCTTGAAATCTGAAAGATAGCAGTAGTTTTAATGGTAAGTGAAACTCATTATTTTTAATAAATATAAGTAATTGCAGCAGTACTGCAGTATTGCACTTTTCATAGCCAAATAGCACGTGGGCCTACAATATATGAATAACAGCTTACTTGGATACCTGTGACATTTAATATACTTATCCAGCTGCATGAATTTCAAATGTAACAAGTTCCCACTTCCCGGTCCATGTTTCCCAAACAGTTTTAGTGGTTTCCCAAGATTTAATCCAGTACACCAGATTTTGGTATCATTTAGCACAGGTAGGTATCACAGATCATTTTCTTGCAAAATATGAAAAACAAGGTTTGCATTATTGACTCCCCCCACCCCACCCCACCCCAAGAACTCGGCAGCATGTTTGGCCCACCTGAAAAAGAAAGGTTTATTTGAGAGAAAAATTTTTACCCAAGAACATAAATATCAGCTGGTTCATCTATATCCAACCATTCTTGAATATCCAAGTCACTGGGTGGACATATGCTTCCAACGTTCCATGTTCCGGCGCAGATCCTGTATGTTAAAAATTTGCGGATTAGATTAAAGAACATCACTCCAAATTACAAACTACTGAAGAAGTAGCATGCTTTATATATTTTAGCCTACTAGCAGCTGAGTTCGACTACTGGTACTGTACTGACATGTTATCACTGTATCAGGGGTATAAGTGAGCAGCAGGAATGCCATTCCAGTATAAAGAAATGCTGGGAGAAGAAATGCTAACAGTAGACTGAATCTGTAATGGTGGCTGTACCTGAGTTCTCTAACGTCAACATACTGAGCCAACCAAGACAGGATTTTCCTATAGTCTACTTGTTGCCCGTAAAAAGTTGAGGGAGTCAAGGCACTGCTAGAGCCCAAACTACTACTAGCAGACAAGAGTAGACAGCTTTCACGGCAACTTAGCGTTGTCTTATCTACTCTCGTTTTGCTTCAGACAATCAGACAAGATCAAGCTTGAGTAAACACGGATCAGATTCAGACCACACAGTCACACACTGCGATCGGAACAGCATGCGCGAATGAAAGGAACGAGGAAGAGAAGAGGGGACGACGAGTAACCTTCGTGGTCGGCCATGCGCGGCGCCCGTGGGGAAGCTGCCAGAGAGACCATGGCTGCCTCCGGCCGGGTGGTCTTCGCGAGCCTGGAGCAGCAATGGACGGAACGAGGAGAGGAAGGAGGAGCGAGACAGCTGCAGTGGCCCGCCAAAATACACCACGCGAGGAGGGGTGTGAGTGGTGATGATGGCCTTTTGGGCACCTTTTTATGAGCGAAACTGCTAGCTCGAAGTGCTTGGAATTATGCCAAGAGCGATTACCAACCGAGCAAGCACGATCTACATATGCTAGCTCAGTTAAGACCCGTTTGGTCCTTACCTTCTGTTTTAATAAAATTTTCAGTAGGGTAACACCTACTGTTTCTATAAAAAGACTAGGCTCTAGCCAAGAGCTCATTTGATAGAGCTCTAGCTTCAATAATTAAAACAGTTCTATTTATGGTTTCATTCTCTGATGAAATAGTTTTTTCATGGTTCCAAATTTACGAGTTTGGTAAAACAGTTTTCTTCTAGTTGTTGAAAAAGGTGAAATATACGTTTTTTTTATTTTTTCTATTCTTCCTTGTTTTCTTCCTCACTTACTTCACATTTTTCCCTCGTCTCTTTCCGTCTTATTTTCTCCACCGGGTACATGCCCCCTTCCACACCGCGGCCCCTCCCGTCATGCGCCGACCTCGCCCTTATTGACGGCTAAGTGAATTGTCTACTTCTCTCCATTAGCTTAAACTTTTGGTTGAATTGATCGGTGCATGCAACTCAATAGCCCGCGAAGGGGCAAATCGGAAAGGGAGGCTGAAAACCCTAATTTGATTTTGGTTAATTGATAAAACCTAGGCCTAACCTTTGATATAAGTATGTGAATTAGATAAGGTGGTCCAACCCAAGTGGTGAAGCTAGATGATGACCATGGTGAAGGTGATGGCCACAAAAGAGATGATCAAGTGCTTCACATTTAGAAAAGAAGAAAGAGAAAAACAAAAATGGGCTCAAGGCAAAGGTATAATTATAGGAGCCATTTTTGGTTTGCACTCAAGACACCATAGAGGGTGTGAGTGATTTAGGATCGATAGCCGTACTATAAGGGGGGAATCTTTGGCTAAATGGTTTATCGAGTGCCACTAGGTGACATGATTCTTACATATGTATTTAGGACCTAGTGTGCTAACCTTGACCCTTGTAAAATGCTTTGAAAAATACTAACACACGTGCACAAAAGTTCTACACTTTATGGTTTGCAAGTTGGAACCAAGGGAGAAGCGGTTGAGGAGATAGAAAAAGAAAAGGCGGCGTCGGTCCCTGACCGGACGTGGGACCTGACCCTTGGCAGAGTCCGGTCATTTATAGCCAGGGAAGCAGTGACTGGCTGAGAGCGGGGAGGCACGACCGGACGCTAGACCTGATGCACATGGTGTGTCCAGTCATTGCGCGTAGAGAAGGAGCAGGGCGGTTTCGCGACCGGACGCTGGAGACTTGTTGTGACCGGACGCACAGGAGCCGCGTCAGGTGAACGATGATGTATGCTAACGTCGGCTCCACGGGCGAGCGCACTGAAGATCAGACGCACCAACGCGTCCGGTCACTCCTGACTTGACGCGTCCGGTCATCATTTTCCGACTCTGGATGCTTATTGTAAATGATCGGACGCCGCGGAGTGGTGAGTCTGGTCACTTGAGCACTGAGTCCGGTCCTAACTTAAGTGCTGCGCGATCAGGATATAGCCATTGAGATCCGGTGGCCAAGATTTAAAGCGCTGACACGTGGACGACCGGATGCTGGGGTGTGTCCGATCAGCCCGAGAGTGCCCAACGGCTCTTTGAGTCTTAGGGCTCTTTAAATACAAAGGTACCGGCTTGGGGCTCACACTCTTAGCACTTTGACATACTTGACATCCTCGTGAGCCTAAGCAAATACCTCCCACTCTTCTCCATCATTGATTCATCATCATAGTGAGATTGGGAGTGATTTCAAGTGTATTTGCTTGAGTGATTGCATCTAGTGACATTTAAGGATCGTTGTGGCTATGGATTTCTTGTTTTCTCTTGGTGGTTGCTGCCACCTAGATGGCTTTGAGCAGCGGAGGAGCTTCGACACGTGTTGGTGATTGTTCATGGCCGGCTCTGATGATTGTGAGGGGTCTTGTACCTTCCCCAGCGGAGAGCCGAAAGGTAACTCTAGTGGATTGCTCATGTCATAGAGCTACCTCACTTGTGGGTAGGTTCTTGCGGCGCCTCTTATGGTGGGCTAGGTGTGTGATACCTATTAGCCGCCGAACCACCAAGTGTTGGTCGACACAACAGGGACTAGCGTGCCGGCAAGCACGTGAACCTCGGGAGAAAATCTTGTCTCTTGTGTGATTGGAAGTCTCCCGGTGAATTGGTTGTCATCATATTGTGATTGGTTCATTTCTCGACGCGGCGGTATAATAACCTTACTCACTCTATTACTTTCCGTAAACTAGCTGTAGCAAGCTCTTTAGTGTAGCTAGAATTGAGAGCTTGCCTTGTAGCTTAGTTTCATCTAGTGGAGCTCTTTAGTGTAGCCTTGTTGAGAGCTCTTAGTGAGTAGTGACTTAGTCTCTTGTGTGACTAGAGATCATAGCAACTAGAATTGTTGGGTAGGTGGCTTGCAACCCTTGTAGAGCTAGAGCAAGTTTGTTTTTCACTGTTTGTTTTACTAATCAAATTGCTCTAGTGTATTTGTAGATTTTTAAATAGGCTATTCACCCCCCTCTAGCCATATTAGGACCTTTCAAGTGATATCGGAGCCGTGGTCACCGTTTGATTGAAGGCTTAACATCCTCAGTGTCAAAAGATGGCTCAAGTTGTGTTCAACCATGTGAGGGGCAAACCACCGTTCTTTGATGGTACATGCTATGATTTTTGAAAGAGAAAGATGAAGATGTATCTTGGTTCAATCAATGATCAAGTGTGGGATATGACCGAGAGTGACTATGCTATTATTGATCCCAACAATCTCACCAACCAAGACAAGACCAACAAGCAATGCAACACAATGGCTCTCAACACCATTTACAATGCCATTGATTCTAAGGTGTTTGAGCAAATCAAGGATTGTGAGAGAGCTAGTGAGGTGTGGAAGAGATTAGAGGGGACCTATGAGGGCACACCGGCGGTGAAGAGTACCAAGCTATATATCCTCAAGAACAAGTTGACAAGCTTCAAGATGAAGGATGATGAGAGCATTCCGGAGATGTTCCATCGATTACAAGTGTTTGTCAATAATTTGAAGGCTTTGGGTAAGAATATCAATGATGATGATGTGTCTCATCGGTTCTTGATGTGCTTACCTACAAGATTTGAGATGTTGAGATTGCTTATCATAAGAGGATGATTGAAGCAACTAACCCCTAACCATGTACTAGGTGATGTCATGACACAAGAGACATACCATGTAGAAAGAGAGAGGGTTGACAAGGATGAGAAGAAGGAAGATGGAGACAAGAAGAAGAAAAGTGTAGCATTCAAGGCTAGCTCATCATCCAAGAACAAGGGCAAGTCCAAGAAAGAATCAAGTGATGATGAAGATACTAGTGACATTGATGATGAAGCTATGGCTCTCCTTGTGCGCAAGATGAGAAAATTCATGAAGAAGAAGGGCTATGGTACAAGAAAGAGAAGAGATCACAACATGGAGTATGTGAGAAGATGCTATAAGTGCAAGAACCCAGAACATGTTGTAGCGGATTGTCCCTACAATAGTGACAATGATGAGAATGAAAAGAAGCATAAGAAGGAGAAAAAAGAAAAGAAGGAGAAGAAAATGACATTCCAAAAGAAGAAGATGGATGGAGGATATGTGGTGCCATGGGATAGTGATTGTAACACCTCTGGTGTTACGAGCTCGCTTAGCACCAAGGTTAAGGCCTAAGAGAAATCAGTCAACTAAATTTTTGGGTTTTGAAAACCTAATACGCACATGAAGTAATAAGTGAATCCTATGTGACTCACTTTTGTGGACTCAAATAAACATCCAAGGTAACTCACTCAGTACGTGAAGTATTTAAAAATGTCCGATAACGATTCTAGCAAATAAATAGTGAATGGCTTGTTCTATTAGATTAAGCATGAAAAACAATTTTATAAAATTTTTTATAGTATAACTCGTATTTATTACTTGAATAAAAATTGGAGTGCAAGTTTAGTAGAGAAAAATGCAACTTTTGTTTTGGTGCGTAGAAATTGTTCAATAGTATATTTGATAGCTCAGAAATTGAATCCGAAATTAAACTAGAACTTTTCATGAATCGATAGGAAGTTAAAATTATAGTTAGAATACTATTTTGATGAATTATATTGAGCAAAATAGTTAAAGTGTGCTTAAGTATTTTGCTCCTATGGGTTAATATGCAATATGGGCTATGTCATGATATGCTTGTTAGTTGAATCGACAGGGTTTAGACCTTTTAAAAATTAAGGCAAACACGCTAGTGGATGTTAGTTCAAAACTGAAATATATAATTTTCTAAGTATAGAAAGGTGGTAGACAATGCAATCTTGACATTTGATTTCTAACAGAAATGTTTAGACACTAGCCGCATGTTTCGGTATTGTTGATTGCATCTAAGTGAGCATTTGAGAATGGTATAGGTCGTAGTGGTGTTGGGTGTTACGTTGCTCTCTTTAAAATTGCTCGAACTTTGTAAGAACGAGCTGTGAACTATGTGGTTGGTGCTCGTTCATGAACCGATGTTTTCGCGATGAACTCGATATTGGCACTCGCTGATCTTCCTCCTCGCCAGAGCTCGCTGATCATAACCATGGTTTCGCTTAAGAATTGGGTAGCGTGAACTATGGATGGGGTGAGTGGTTGAGCCTTAGGTGGGGTAATTAGTTGTTTTTGTTGAGCTTTAAAATTCGTGCGTGTTGCTATTTTGTCCGTTAGGCTTCCGTGGTCGTGGTCACCATGCGAGCATGGCGCCACGGCTGCCCTGCCGCTCCTAGCCGTGGCCGCTTCTATGCTAGCCAACTTCACTGGCAGCTGGCCGCACATTGGGCCAGGGTGGGCCATGCTCGTCTCCATGGGATAGGGATGGTGT